GTGGCTTCCTCATAAACTGACATTTACAATAATGAATTATACAGCAGTGGGGAGTAGACTTCATCACAGTAGATACCTTTCTGAAAGTGCTGTAACTAAGTTTAAGAATAAAATTCTCCCACTGTTAGCATCTTCAATGCCCTGTACCAACACAGAGCAGAGCAGCTACCTGAATGCTACTCCAACAGAGGTCAATTATCTTGTTAATAATTTCACCTCCTCACTATGAACGACTCTGGATACTGTAGCTCCTCTGAAAAATAAAGCCTCTAATCAGAAGTACTTGACTCCATGGTATAACTCTCAAACGTGGACCTTAAAGCAGATAACTCGTAAGCTGGAGAGGAAATGGCTTATCACAAAAGAGATAGAAGATCATCATTTAACCTGGAGAAATAGTTTGTTGCTTCACTGATTAAAGAAAATAAGAACAACCCTAGGTTTCTCTTCAGCACTGTAGCCAGGCTGACAAACAGTCAGAGCTCTGCTGAGCCAACCATTCCTTTAACATTAACGAGTAATGGCTTCATGAAGTTCTTCACAAATAAATTTTAACTATTAGACCAATTATATATGCTTCCCTTTGGCAGTATCGTCAGAAGACATACCATACATTTTCACTGCTATGCAGATGACACCCATCTCTATCTATCCATAAAGCCAGATAACACACACCAATTAGTTAAACTGCAGGAATGTTTTACAGAAATAAAGACGTGGATGACCTCTAATTTTCTGGTTCTGGACAATAAACAGTACATTGCACAACAACTGAAACCAGCCCAATGAATGAACAGTGAACTGTGTCAGGGAACCCCCGATTTGATTTTCACCCAGGTGTCATTAACATATCTGAACCAATGACTTGGTGGTATTCCAGGGTAGGATAACAAAGCCCTCTTTTCCGCTTCTTCCACTTACAAGTCGGCCACAATGGTTGATATTGGGGAACCCATGGCACACCCATGTTTCTGTCTAATAACTTGTATGTGAAATTAGTGGAATTAAGACACAGTTCCTTCAAAATGTAAAAGAACCCACCCACCACTTTATTAACACTCTTGTCCTGACATACTAAATACAAACAGAATATTTAACAGTATTTCCTGAAAACCTTTTTTATTTGATCATGTCTTAGAAACATTTCACTTTACAATAATGAATTACACAGAAGTGGGGAATAGATATCATCACAGTAGATTTCTTTCCATAAGGGATATAACCATAGCTGGACTGGCCATCGAGCATACCGGGTATTTGCCCAGTGGGCCGATGGTGATTCTTCGTTTTTATGGGCCGATGGGTTTTGTTTTGTTTGTTTGTTTTGTAACAGTATAAACAATGAAAGGTGGTGGATTGGCCAGATGCTGGCCGGTGTGTAAAAATAACTCAGTTGTTTGGTGGTGGCTATGGTGGAGCTTTCACAGAGGCCAGCAGGTGGATGAGGAAAAGGGAAGGCAGGAGGAGGAGAGACCCGAGGCGGCCGCCGGTCCGAGTGTCAGGTGAACTGAACTTCAGGTAAGAAGTTATGACCTGCAGTCTATCTGGGTCAGATATAAACCAAGTTTAGTTGTAGCTATTTTCGTTGTGCTAACTTTTTACAATCAGTTACAATAACTCGTACAGCATACTAGCTAGCATGTCTGGGCGGGTGCTATGATGTTACTGATAGTGAACTATATTTTATTCATAAGGTTAGTTATTAGAGTTGCCAACCATCCCATAAAAACGGAATCGTCCCGCATTCAGAGAAAATATTACGCGCTTCATATTGTGTCCCGTACTTCAGCTAGAATGGAAAAAGACACAAAGCTGGAGTTATTCGGCTTCTGTACGCTGTCAGCTGCCTCTTCTTTGCTCATTCTTTCCCCCTCTCTCTCTCCTGTTGCTACTTTATTCATGAAACTGATCAATGATCAGCTGATCGGCTTTTCTCTCTTGTTTGTTTATCGCCCACTTTGCGCCAGAAAGAGGAAACCAGCGGATGTCGCGATAAACAACAGCAGTACATTTAAGCTTGATCAGCTGTTGTTAGAATTTATTTAATATTAATTTCTAGTATCAGCTGATGTTTGCTGGAGCCACAGTTTAAAAGCTGCTGGTCATGATATCAGTTTGGTTATCTGGTGAAAGGGAAACATGAAGATGAAACCAGGAGAGGTCCTTACTGAATCATCAGAGCTGAACAGGTGATGGAGAAACAGGTTTACCTTTCAGGTGACATGAATGAATTGAAGGGAAGTTATGAACTGTTTCTGAGAGACAAATAACACCAGAATCCTTTTTTTTTATGTATCTAACAGCTGGTAACTGTGCAGGGGTGGGTCTAGCAAAGTTTTGCCAGGGGGCCAGGTGGGGCATTAACAGGGAAAGGGGGGAACAAAGAAATACGTTTCTTTCTTATTCTCATTTAAAATGTCACGCTTTGAATAAATAATTATCTGAATCTTACAACCAAAGTTTTTATCTGATGTAAAATGTATAGAAATCATACATATACCAACAAGACAGTTTACATCACTGTCACAACAGCGTTTGTTTTCATTCAAAGGCTTTATGGCTTTTCCTATAATACCTGGTGGGCTGGTCTCTCGTCAAAATGCCTGGGCCAATTTTTTGTCCCAGTCCAGCCCTGGATACAACTAAGTTTAAAGATATAATTTATCCACTGTTGTCTTCTTCAATGCCCTGTGCAAACACAGTGCAGAGCAATGACCTGAACACTACTCCACAGGTCGGTTACACTGTTAATAATTTTATTTCGTCACTACCTAAAACTCTGGATACTGTAGCTCCTCTGAAAAAGAAAGCCTTAAAATTAGAAGTACTCGACTCCCTGGTATAACTTTCAAATACACATCTTAAAGCAGATTGTCATAATCCTGGGCCATGTTGGCCCAGCATTCTTAGTTTCATGTATTTTTGTATTTTGTTCCTTATTTGACTTCCCCTTGTGACTTTTACCCCCTGTGTGCCCCTCTGTGTATCTGTGAGCCCTCGTTTCCCCTTGTGTTTTATTCCATGTTTTCCCCAGCCCGTTATGTCTGTGCTCTCCCCGTGCTCCCTCTCTCCTCCTGTCTGCGCCTCTGTGTACTTCCTGTTTTACTTTGACAGTCTCCCGTCAGTATGCGTCATGTTGTGTTGCTCCTGCCCTGTCTCGTTACGATTATCTGTGTCAGCTGTGTTCCCCGTGTGCTCCCACCTTCCTCGTTAAACCTCTGTGTATTTATGTCCGCGTCTCCCTCTGTTCAGTGTCGCATTCTCCTCATTCATGGCTGTGTGTTTCTCTGTGTGCTAGTGTATTGCTTCCCAGTGTAGTTTCTTATCAGTTTGTTTCGCTGTTTCCCTCCAGCAATAAAGCTGTGTTTTGAGTTCATTCCTGCCTCTGTGAGCTTGCGTTTGGGTCCACTTCCTGCCTGCCACACAGCCGAATCATGATAACTCGTAAGCTGGAGAGAAAATAGCATCTCATTAACTAAGAAGATCATCATTTAACCTGGAAAAATTGTTTGTTGGTTTGAAAAAAAATTTAAAAGACCTGCATGAACCTGGAACATCTTACTATTCATCACTAATTAAACAAAATAAGAACAACCCTAGGTTTGTCTTTACCACTGCAGTCAGGCTGACAAAAAGTCAGAGCTCTGTTGAGTCAACCATTCCTTTAACCTTAACTAGCAATGACTTCATGAAGTTCTTCACAAATAATTTTTAACTATTAGAAAAAAAATGCTCATAACCATCTCACAAATGTAGTATTATGTACAGCTTCTTTCATATTTATCTAGAATCTTTTCTCCCTTATTGAGTTAACTTCAGTAATTACTTACTCAAACCGTCAGAATGTATTTCCTGCAGGAAGAGCAATCTTGTTCTTACAGTAGATTTTTCATTTTAAATATTTTAAGGACAAACATTGCAAATTTAAATGTAGTAATGTCATATTGGAGCATCATTATGACACTATTATGAGATTATTAATAGAAGTGACGCCATTACTTTATTAAGTGCTACTCTGCTATGTGGAATCATAATAAGATATAATCTGCAATTACGGTATATTGTAAAAATACATGAGATTTCATGTCAATTTTAAGCTTCATCAAAAGGATTTGATTTAGTGTGTCGTTTTCTTTAGATTAATTGTGAAACAATGCATTTATTCATTTTTACTCTTTACAGATGAAAAGTAGCACTCATATGATGTTAGTTTAAATACAATGGGGGGAAGGGTGCCCTCATCCCCGTGCTTCAGATCGGCCCTGTCCGTGGAACTAACGGGATTTAAATCACTGCGATACCAGGAGGAGTTGCCTGTTTTGGTGCTCATTACCGAAGCTGGGCCCACAGAAGCTGTCCTTTGCATACTGCATTTCCATCTGCCAGTTCACGGCCGGAGATATTTCCATCTATGCTGTAATCCCACGTATGCTCCTGTTTATCATGCCTGGGTACTGACAGGCTGCGGGACACAATGAGGACTGGTATCCGTGTCATCGCGCAGCCTGGAGCTGTCTGGCCTCAGCACGTTAGCAAGCTAACCAATTTTTTCTAAGCAGAAGCCCTGCATTGCTTCGACATGCTAAAGGATTTCATGAACAACACACGGGAGGTTTCCTCCGACTTGACTGGAATACTGCGCACGGAAGTGCAGCGAGGAATCGTCAAGGTTTCCGACGACCGCAAGAAGCAGAGGATCCACAGGGCGTCTGTTGCTGTCTGACAGCCCCGACCAAACATGGCTTTACGGCTGCTTTTACAGGATATTACTGCCTCAGATTTCTAACATATAAACAGGAGATACGAGTTGACAGCATACGCATCATAAAGTGTTTGAATGGCGGCGTACACACTGTGTGCTGTGAATGGGACTAGGCGCTTACTGGCCACCGGCACAGGTTGTGTGAAAAGCACCGAGATATGACATGCACAAGAAAAAAGAGGAAAGCTGCTTTTGCTTCTTTAAACCTTTTGATTTTTAAAGGTAGTGTGCAACACTTTTTTTTTAATACAGATTTGGTCCACCGGCAACGTTACCTATGCTTCTGTTTTTAGGCTAGAAGCCAGGTGCATCACCGTATTTCATGTAGACTGCAACAGACGTCTGGACAAGCAACCCACGGCAGGTAAGGAGCTCAGTATGACTGCCATTTAATATTGCCTACACAAAATGTCACACTTTCTGCTTCTGTGTGCCTGTATATTTATCTGAGTGCAGTAAGCTCTTGCTGGCATTTTTCTAGCATCCTCTAGGCCCAGACAATTGCAGCTTGCTAAGACTGTTGCCCTTTGTCTGCCCCAGCCTCTACAGGGTGAGCACCAAATGAGGGCCTCTGAATGTAGAACAAATCAGAATGTTGAAGCATGCCTCAGAGCAGCATAAATGATGTTGATGATAAATAATACAGGATTTCCAGCAGCTATACAACCTTGATCAGCACTGGGACTGCCAACTTATTTAGTATCATTTGATGTTTGGGCCATTCACAGAACACAGAACAAACTCCTGGGGGCATATAGACAACACTGTTTCAGGTTTTGAGACAGCCACCCTCCTTAAGGCTGGACTGTAGCACCCGGTGGCCCCCATGTCCTCAACAGACCTGTAGACTCCATGTAGGGAAGCCTGATGCTGGGTGCAGCTGTCAGAAACCAACAATGTACATCTCATCCAGTGAGCTTTGTCGCCTCCTCCCACCGATGTAAAGCTAGAGGTACTGGGTTGCTGTTGCTACCCAGTTCCTGACAGTGACTCTGCCCTCCGCCGCCAACCAACTTTCAGCTTGACAAAGCCCCTCCTTTAAGATGCACAGCCTCTCTCACAGAATTCACCACAGCTCCCAGCCTGTGGCTTAGCAGGGCTTCAATTCGTGTTGACAGTGTGCTCTTAGCTCTGTATTTTTGTAAATCCTATCAAATTAACTTCAACATAAATCCTAAAACGTCAGCAAGAGAATTCCTTCGGTAATGTGTGTTTTCCGATGGTTGTCAAATTGCTGTTTTAAACTGTCATCTCAGTGCTAAATTAGAAACATCCAGTGTACCTACAGTTAAACTCATAAGGAACAGTTATTCCTGCCACTTAGTGAAGCCAGGGATTTGAAACTCTGCTCTAATCCTCTTCTACCAAATAAACAGGGAAGAGCAGCATTGCTTTTTCACTTTTTGATATAGTCTTGAACAAAGCTAAAGTTTGAAGTGTCGGGATGTTTTGTTTTGTGCTGAAATTAAGTCACCACTGCAGTGGCCCCCCCTGAAAAAAATCTCAGGGGGGGCAATTTTTATGATATCGACTAAAATGACCCATTTAATGAGTACATCAAACAACACAATTTTAATTTGTTGCTAGGTGATTAACTCATACAGTGATACCTCATGCCCACTAGATGGCAACACACAACAGAAAGCTTGGCTTGACCTAGTGTGGTCTGTGCATCTTGGCTTTACACAAACCAGAATGATGAAGTTTAATTCTGATATACAAATTTAATTACTTCAAAATTAAATGTGCACATGGTTGGACTGTGCACCAGAGCATAATTCAAAACAAGTAAGCAGGAGCTTTTGATAGAGGGTTAGGGTTAGGGTTAGGGGTTAGTTAATAGGTTAATCCCTGGATTGTCTGAGGAATCACTTTCATCATGTCCCCGCATTGCTAGCTCAAAAGCACCACAAAACTTAATACAATCGATGATTTTAGATAAAATATGACGGTTTTTATCTACCTCTTCGTTGTGCCTTCTTAAAGCAATCCGATGTCCATCATCTAGCTGCGCCGCTATGCTAGTTTTCCCTAGCACAGCTAGCTTTACACTGTTGTCCATATGAACTCATGAGCTTTCATGTTTCTTGATTCGTTCGGAGAGGTGCTTTAAGTCGGTTTGTCCAGATTGTGTCCACGTCAAATCACACTTGTCACTTTTGAACAGTATGCACGGGAAACAAAAAAGTGCATTAGCTGTTCCACAGCCTGTCAGCCACGACTTGCGCTGGAACCAACTCCGACAAAAAGTCCTGTTGTATGCTTTTGACTTCTCCTTCGTTGCCTGGGTTAGTTGAATTTCGGGCTTGTCAGGTCCCAACTCTTTAACTTGCAGTTTTTCTGCCATTGTCCTTCTGGCAAAAGGGTAGGTTAGAAGCGATCTAACCGAATTTGGGGGAGGCTGTGCCTCAACCGTTAACAATACCGCTGCCATCGTCTCTCTCTGACCTTATAGCTCACTTAGGCTACTGACTGAGGTAAAATTCTAGAACAGCAAATCTTCGCGCGTTTTCTGCAGGGGCGCAATTTTAAGCGCCCCCAAACCATTTAATTCAGCGACGCTGATAGGTCAAATATTTATTATTTTCCCCTGGCAACCATTTAATGATAGGCTATTTCGCTGCATATCAAGGGCGCTTTGACGAGCGCCCCAGAAGAAGAAAAACACCGTTTGTTGGTTGAACTTTAATGAGTCAGCTGGTGAAAATGTTAAAATACGCCTGGCTGTATATGGGCACACACATAGTAAAACTATCATTGATGAATTTTTTAAAAATATATATTTTTACTCCTCCACATTTGGGGGGGCGGAGCCCGAGCGCCCCCTATGGGCCAGCCGCCACTGCACCACTGTAATGCAGTGCTCTGGTTTCTCTGCATTGAAGAGTTATCATTTAAACCACAAAGTGATATTTTAGTTTGACAAATCCACAAAACTGTATTTAAGAGTGTTCTGGTCTTCTTTCCGTGTGGTCGTGGTAGCACTGTTCTTTTTGAGAACAAAGCTTTTTTTCTTGCAGCCGTGGTATGGATGCCATTCTTGTTCAGTGTTCTTCTCTTACTCTTCTTCTCATCAAACTGAGGTTCTTGTACTCGGCCATGTTTACTGTTTGACATTTATTCAGCTGTGTGAAACCCCGGAAGAACCCTCCAGAGCAGTGGTGGTCCTAGCCTGTTTGGCGCCCTGGCCCCCCCCCCCCCCCCCCCCCACACACACACACACACACACACACACACACACACACACACACAGACAAAACATATTAAGGATTGTACATTAACATAAAACTGTTGTACACACACACATATAAAGACAGAGAGAGTATGCATAGTATGCAAACGGCTACAAAACAGCCATGATAATTCGTAATACAATGAGAACAGGACAAATCAACAATTGACAATGACTAATTAATATTAAAATCTGTAACATAATGTATTGTTTGGAGTTAAATCTGTTACTGTTGCTATTTTTACCATTTCTTCTTGGAGCAACTGTAACACACATAATTTCCTTAGGGATTAATAAAGTATTCTGATTCTGATTGTTTCAGGATACATGACCTGCCATTATCCAATGACACATCTGCTTACCTGTATCTTTTTCTCGTTTCTCTTCCTCTTCTTTTCTCTTTTTTCTAAACTGAGGACCTGATGACTTTGAACTTTTCTTGTCCATCTTCCATTGGTTTTAATTTTGCACTCTAGTATGAACAGCCATCCCTCAACCCGAGGATCACCACAACATAATCTAACACACCTACACCTTAGTTCACAGATTCACTTTGTCTAAGGTGCATTTCTGAGATTTCACACAGCCCAGGATTCAAATCATGAATACATAATGGGCTTGGATTTACAACATTATAAATGAAATGTGCTCTATTTGGAAGCAGCCGGCCCCTCCCCTTTCGACGGGTTGTGTGTGAGACTTTAAATCAACAAACTGTAAATTTTAAATTGTTATTGATCCCTTTACCCCTAGTCCTAAAGTGTATATTTATTTTCTTACTCTTCTTATATATATTGTTTGTTTACTTGCACTGTTGTAACTGGAGCCTCGTCGTCTCGTCTCTCTATACAGGGAGTGCAGAATTATTAGGCAAGTTGTATTTTTGAGGAATAATTTTATTATTGAACAACAACAACCATGTTCTCAATGAACCCAAAAAACTCATTAATATCAAAGCTGAATGTTTTTGGAAGGAGTTTTTAGTTTGTTTTTAGTTTTAGCTATTTTAGGGGGATATCTGTGTGTGCAGGTGACTATTACTGTGCATAATTATTAGGCAACTTAACAAAAAACA